AGCCAGGATGGTCTCGATCTTCTGACCTTGTGATCCGCCCGTCTCGGCCTCCCAAAGTGCTGGGATTACAGGCTTGAGCCACCGCGCCCGGCCCCATACTCTTTTAAAAGATCATTAGCAAGATTTCATGTTTTGCTATCTCATGGAAAAAAAAAATGTAAGATGAAAGCTTATGCTGCTGAACTATTTAGGAGCATAGAATTCCAAAGGAAGTTTTCAAAGACTATGTATTTAAGAATTAGAGTCCAGAGGAATTGATGTGTTCACACTAAAATAAATGGTGTTGTTCATGTGGAAGGTTAGTTCACATGTGACTTGATTACATTAGTCACCAAGCTCCACCCTGACTTTCCCTGACCTTCATTGTCCAATGGATCTTAACATCCAGCTTGGAGATACATTGTCTTTTTTTTTTTTATCTGAGACAGAGTCTTCCTCTGTTGCCCAGGCTGGAGTGCAGTGGCGCATTCTTGGCTCGCTGGAACCTCTCCCTCCTGGGTGCAAGCGATTCTCTGCCTCAGCCTCCCAAATAGCTGGGACTACAGGCATTAACCACTACGACCAGCTACTATTAGTATTTTTTGTAGAGATGGGGTTTCTCCATGTTGCCCAGGCTGGTCTCAAATTCCTGGCCTCAAGTGATCCACCCACCTAGATCTCCCAAAATGCTGGGATTATAGGTGTGCGCCACCACGCCTGGCCACCATCTCATGTTTATACCTCCTCAGAGGCCTCCTTTGTGGCTTTAGAGCCCTTTCTTTTTCTCCAATGGGGATAGGCAGTGTGTTACAGCCAATTGTTGTATCAGTTAGTATGACCCTAGGCTTTGAGATTTTGTGGAAAATGAGTTCCCCAAGCCAAAAAACAATTGTCAGTTTGTGTGACTGATTTCAGATTAATTTTCTGTTCTCAGCGCTCGGTGGGCCTAACATAGTAGTGATCTAGTAAACATATACACATATAATGGAAACAGAAAGCTTACAAAATAGCAATTCTTACTACATGTGATTACACGGTGACATTTGCTGTTCTATACTCTTCTATTTTATTTTATTTATTTTTTGGAGATGGAGTCTCACTCTGGTGCCCAGGCTATGGTGCAATGGTGCAATCTCGGCTCGCTAGAACCTCTGCCTCCCAGGTTGAAGCAATTCTCCTGCCTCAGCCTCCCGAAGTAGCTGGGACTACAGGTGCACACCGCCATGCCTGGCTAATTTTTTGCGTTCAGGTAGAGATGGAGTTTCACTGTGTTGCCCAGGCTGG